GTGTGAACCATTGCCCTTAGGTAAGTAGGCAAGTCTCCTAATTTGTGTTTGCAACGGTATTGAATTACGATAGCAGCTATCCGAGTTCCAATAAGCAAGTCCAACACTGTATCCCAATATAAAAAAATGAAGATAAAAATAAGATCCAAAACTAACATGATCCCTTTTCTAATCCATAACGCCTTGTCATGATATATGATGATTGTTGTAGTGTTGATGATGCACGGATGCAGGTTCCCAAGCCCTACCTAATTAATATCCCCTTCCCACGTCAATAATACGTAAGTGCATTTACCTCATCGTCGACACCATTAGTGATAACTATTAATTACCTTATCGTTCCGTACCCAGTGCTGCGTGTGTCCTTGGAGTTGTTCTGGGCCAACCTAGCACCATCTGACGCGCCGGCATCATCCGGCACGCCATTCTCGCGTTCGTGCTCATCATCTTCGTCATCTTCATCATCATCGAACACGACGGCATCCTCGTATCTCTCGACTCCGCCAGCGTCCTCGGCGTCGCTCGAGTCGGAGCTCTCGACGCTCGGCCCGTCGCCCTCGACGATCATCCAGACGGGCAGGGCGCCGACGGCGGAGATGAGGCCGAGGATCCACCAGGGGGCGCCGATCATGTTGTTCTTGACGCCCCAGGAGAAGGCGACGCCGGCGAGGGCGGGGCCGCTCGCGCGGCCGAGGGCGCTGAAGGTGGTGGCGAAGCCGTTGAGCGTGCCGAGGATGCTGAGACTCGCGGCGGAGTTGGTGAGGAGGATGGTGGAGCAGGGGAAGCCGATGATGACGGCGAAGGCCTTGATGACCAGGAGCACGAGCAGCGCGACGTAGCGCAGCGCGACGTCGTCGACGAGCACGACGAAGGGCAGCGCAGCGTAGACGATTGGGAAAGTCAGGACGCAGACGCGGAAGCAGTTGAGCACGCCGTAGCGCGCGCACAGCGGCGGGAAGAGCACGAACTGGATCGCGCCGCAGGTGATGCCGTACAGCGTGAAGATGGTGCCGATGCGGCCCGAGTTGAGCCCGAAGCCGCCCGAGAAGAAGAAGGGCGGGGACGTGTTGTTGCCCGGCGAGTGGTGGTCCTCGACCGGGTAGTTGAGGAACACGGGGAGAACCTGGTCGAAGGCCACCGAGTGCAGCGCGAGGAACGTGTAGGCGACCAGGTTGATGACGGTCTGGCGCGTGAAGACGGCCGACATGGTCGGTCTCACGGGCTTCTCGAAGGGCGCGCGCGGCGTGGTCGCGTCCGCCTGCAGGAGCGGCGCCGAGGCCTCGGCATCCTGGAGGGAGTACCGGCGGAGCTTCTGCTGGCGTCGGAGGGGGTGGTCCCGGAAGGCCTCCTTGATGCGCTGGCCGAGGACGAGGCCCCAGTCGCGCGAGTGCCGCTTGCTGTGCAGCGTTTCCTTGAGGAACAGGGCCGCCGTCGTCACCGAGATGAGGAAGAAGACGCCGGCGATGATGTTCGGCAGCGCGAAGGGGAACATCATCAGGAAGCGGCTGCCGCCGAAGAGGCCGGGGAACTGCTGCGCCGGCTTGGCGAAGAGCCCGCCGAACGCAGGCCCGAACACCGAGCCGATGCTCCAGACCAGCGGCATGATGGAGAACGCCTTCGGCTGGAGCTCTCTGTCCTGGACCATCTCCGCGACCATGGTTCTTATGATTCCGACTGACGAAGGTTCTTCGTCAGCGAGCGAGCAGGGCCTCTCGTGGAGGTTTTATATAAAAGTTGGTTGACCTACCGTTTCCGTTGCATGCGCCTTGAAGACCGCGGACGATGATGGCCATTGTAAGACTTGTCGACATCCCCCATATCAGGAATAATGTCATCGTGCAGAGGAGTCCTGTCATGATGACGGGTTTTCTTCCTAGATGGGCCGTTGATTAGCCATCCTGACTATATCTATATATATATATAAATGGGGAGTTGGCTCGATGCCCGCCAACATTCATGAGGCAGTTACTTACCAAACGTGTCGGAGGCTCGTCCCCACGGCACCGCCGTCAGGCTCTGTGCGAGCGAGAAGACGCTGCTGGTGGCGCCGGCCCATTTCGCGATGTCCTTCTCCGCGACTCCGAAGCTCGCTATCATCTCCGGCAGGTAGGGGTACACGGAGGTCATGGCCAGAGGCTCGGCAAAGCGCGCGACGGCTGGAGAGAGAGAGAGAGAGAGGTACGTTAGCCGCCAATATCTCGTCAGGGAGGGAAGTACCTGGATCGTGCCATTCGTCTTTCTTCTCGGCTGAGGATTATAACCGCCATTGTGTTATTCACGTCTACTTCATTGCCGTTTTACTGTGAGATCGCCTGCTGCTGCTGCTGCATTGAAGTTTGGTAAGACGACTTCGACACCAAGATCAACAGAGTCACGGGCACGAGCAATCAGACGAAACCGAGGCGGAACAAAGCAAGCGAATCGGAGGTTTATTTTGGGAACCGCTTCTTTTCTTCTTGATTGATTGGCATGAGGACTCTCCAAATAGGGCAGCCGGTTCTCCATTCTCCAACAACACCAGTCAAGCGATTTCTTTTGCGACAAAGGTGAGTGACACTAGTCAAATTGCGCCGCCAATATTATCGTGTCCTTCGCGATGCCAGTTGTGAAGCTGTGCGAATGCGCCGAAGACAACAAGAGAAGCCGAGTATGCTTACCCAGGATGGCCAGCTGCTGAGCCGGCAGCTTTGGACGATGGGATTTCGTCGCCATGATGAATGACCACGGACCCCGAGCTTTGTGATGGTACACTACAGTTGCCGTATAGTAATCCCGGATTGTGGGCTGATAGCCGCCAGAGAGGGGTTCGCCACGAGAGACAGAGGGAGGCAGGTCCAAGAGAAAAAGAACAGAAGTCAACAACAACACAAGCAAATGCGTATGCCTAAATAATATAAACAAAGAGAGCTTGTTTCTCTTACGGCAACGGCAACCACCACTTACGACACCACGCAGAACTCAGGTAAAACATGGCTTGTCTGCCTCCCACCCCACCATTCGGCGAGCGCAGAGAGAGGTTAGACCAAGCCAAGAGGGAAGTGGTGGGCAAGACTGGTTAGGTAGGCAGGTAGTGCAGTAGGGGTATCTCCCTCGATGGGTCACTCTCGTGAAACTAGGCCGAGCCAAGACTGGTCGGGGACTACTCCGTTGCACTAGGTAGCCGTAGTGTCAGTGTGTAGGCACAGCTTGTGCAGAAACGAGGCTCCCATTCCACTCCTGCACGAGTTCTGATTTGCTGCTGCCTCACGGCTTCGCCCCCCTCCTCCTGGATGCAAATTTTCAATAAAGTGTAGGTAGTGTAGGCGATGCCGCATTATTAATGTCATGGGTATCGCGTTGCTGAACCAACCCCCTTTACATAATCTGTACGTACGAAGGTAATTACGACAAAGCAGTTAGTCCCATAGGTAATCTGTCTGCTACCTTATCTGTCCGTTGTTACCTCGGGGCAATGCTATCACGAGTCTGGTGGCGGTTAGTCGTGCATGCGCAAAACTGAAAAGTCGACTATCTATTGTCGTCCCCGGCTTATGGTGGTATTGGTTATTATCGATGCATGTAGGTTTCGCGCCTCGACCCAGCCAAACCAGCCAATCAGCCAATCGACCTGGTCTCACATGCCCCGGTCCGCCCGCAGCCAGTGACTGAAAACGGCGGCACCGGATTGCCTAAAGTAATCCCAACGGTGTCCGTTGTCGGAGCACAGATTTTGCACTGTCGCCTCCGATCCTTGCCAGATCTGTATCAACTAGGAAGTGGACCGGACCACACACCGGCGCCACCCGGTCAAGACCGAAGATGTTGGTTAAATGGACGGTTGGTTTTGAAACGAAGAAAAAAAAAAGATGTGCTCAGCTAAAGTGCTTGCGCAATGATAGCCAAGTCGGAATATGAAGTGGCTGGAGTGGGTTGCGTCGTAAAGGCCGTTGAGCTGTAGTTTCGGCAGCGTTGGCCGCCACCAACATCGATGAAAATGTAACGTGGAACTTCTCAGTAGCCAGCTAAGCCACAGTTAAACTTCCAAGTTTGACTGTTGTTTTTATTCGAGTCCGCATAAAGTGAGCTCCACCCCCCAGACGAATTTGCTCAGCTTCCCGGCCGATAAAGACCAACGGATCCACTGGTGGTCATTTGGTGATCATGCGACCATCAAGACATACACACTACCTGAGCCGGTTTTCCGACCGTCAACTCTACAGCTCTCTTCTGTTTCTTTTGCATAGAAACCAGCTGATTGCCGAGCCAGGGTTTTCCTCCTACCTACCAGGCTGAGGATGGACGTCTTTTTAGGTATTGATTGAGCTGGAGAGCTTGGGAGTTTCCGAGCGACTTGTGCTTCCTTGCAACAGCCCCAGTCTATCTATGACCGACTAGTCCTTCTGCTGCATCACAGGTTCGCGACATCGACGCTGTCATTCTAGAGAGTTCTGAGGCCGCTGATGCCGAGGAAATTTGGCACATAGGCTTCGGGTCCCTCTAGCAACTCCTCGGTTGAAGTCAAATCCGTTCATTGAAGTTCATACTCGAGGTCATTTGTCCCTCCTTGATTCTATGCTGATAGGGAAACAATGCAGACGGCAATGTTGGGTCCCGCGGTCAAGATCAAAGCCAAATTGCATCTTGAGGTTCCAGGGATAGAGGCCAGGCCAGACCAATGCGCGACCTGTTTCGTGCAGAGGAGCATATTCACTCTCATGTTCGCGAGAGTGCACTCCTTTCCAACGCCTGCTCTTTCTTGGCCAGGGATAACAGAGACGAGACAGAAGAATTCTCAACTCAGATCATACCCACCAAATGCCAGCCTGGGCAAAGTCTGCCGCCAGAGCCAAAGGAACGAAGACGTGGTGCTCCATTTCAGAAGCAAACATGCTTTAACCGCAAATCCCAGAGAGCCGTATTTTCACTCACAAGTTTTGCTGACTAGGCATCTCTACATATGGTTTTATAGCAGCGGGCCTGTTCCAATTAGAATTGACCTTACGCTTGCTTCTCCTGTGAAGGCCCTACTGGCTAATGGTAAAGCATAGGCTTTCTACAGATGTTGAAATGATCCTAAGGTTGAGGGTTCGAGTCCCTCGTTGGGTTGGCCTTTCTTCCTATGTACTCGTAAAACCTTGACATGTCCAGTAGAATACATACATTTTCTAAAACCATCGACAACAAATGTACTTCCTGTTAGCAACTTGAAGTATTAGGATGATTTGCAGTCTGGCCGACCTCTTGCAGGCGTAAACACTGGGGTTCAAAGGTTTGAAAACTGTATACATGTCATCGGAGACACAAGAGCCACAATGTTCACGTTAAACTGGTAATGGTCTTTTGTTGGGACAGCAGATCAGGAGATCGCCATTCAATTCTTGACGACCTTTACGTCTTAATCGACGTATAAATGGGTGCGCCACGGTGAGAGCAATCTTCCAGCTTCCGACTTCGTAATATGCCTCCCTATGCCCGGGACGTACTAAAATTTTATATGATCGCGGTAGCTATTCCATACCTAGACAATATACCGATACCATTAATTGTCAAGCTCTTACTCCTTATCCGCACCTACAGCATCGATATTGGATTTGCTATGCAACTTTAGAACTTGAAGGTACTTTTGTCTATGATATGCGTCTTACCTAGAAACAGAACCAGCATTCCGCCTGCCATCTTCAAACCTTTAGACCGTTTTAGCTAATGCCATTCATTAACTGCATCAATGTATTGAGAGAATCTACACCTCCTCGCCTTTAACAACCCGCTATTTGATCGGAACGGTTTATTTAAGCTCAGACCAGATCTGTTCATGTCTTGGTTAAGAAGATACATGTAATTGGACAATGGAAGTTTACTACAGAGCCCCTACGGTGATAGTTACCTAACTTCTAAAGAAGGTTAGATCTAAGTAAGTACCCACTTGTGGATAGCTTAAGCCTTAAATGACGTGCGAAATATAATGGTGGCGTAAACGGCCTTTCTGACCAATTAGGCTACCTTAGTGTACCTAGGTTAAGTGCCCATACCCCTCCAGGTATCTATCTCCAGTGGGGTACCGACGTCTCGCTCATCCGTCATGAGTCTCTGTAGATAACGTACCGTACTTACGAAGTACAGAGCCAACATATGACACGACCTTGATAAATCATCTTCATGCTCGATGAGAGGCTTTACAGTGATAATGGCTAACGAGCGTACGCCATTGATTACCACGGTGGTGGTCGGCCCTCCGCGTCAACGCTACCCGCACCACAATCTGCGCCGCTTCTGCAGCATCGCTTTAAGCTCGTCATTGGTAGCCTTGGCCATCACCTTTCTCATCGGTGTCGCCTTCGCACCACCCTACAGCCACCATCAGCCGTGGCCCCAGCACCCGTGGCCTCATCACGGCGGAAGCAACCTCACGTATGAAAAGCTCCAAGCTCTGCTTCTGGAAACACCAAGTGCCGAGAAGGCCTCCGAATGGAGCAAGTACTACACCTCTGGTGCCCACCTTGCCGGCCAGAACCTCTCACAGGTAAGGCCCACCTCATTCATGTAACGATGACAAGAATGATATGAATATATATGTATATATATATATAAATGATGAATCATATTAATGTTGATAGGCCGAATGGACGAGGGACCGTTGGGAAGAATGGGGTGTCAAATCTGATATTGTCGCTTATGACACGTACCTCAACTATCCACTCGATCATAGGTTGGCCCTTCTAGAGAAGAAGAAGAAGAACCGGGACGCCGACCAGTGGGAAGTAAAATTTGAGGCCATTTTGACAGAAGATGTCCTAGAAGAGGATCCCACCACTCAGCTCGAGAACAGTATCCCGGTCTTCCATGGGTATTCTGCCAGTGGCAATGTCACCGGCTCCTTCGTCTATGTCAACTATGGCACCTTCCAGGATTTCGAAGACCTCCTGCGTGCCAATGTCAGCCTGGAAGGCAAGATTGCCATCGCCCGGTATGGCGCCATCTTTCGTGGTCTCAAGGTGAAAAGAGCCGAGGAACTGGGCATGATTGGTTGCATCTTGTACAGCGATCCCGGCGACGATGGCGATATAACCGAAGAGAATGGACACGAACTGTACCCAAAAGGCCCTGCCCGAAACCCTAGTAGCGTCCAACGTGGGAGTGTGCTATATTTAAGTGTCGGACCAGGCGACCCAACTACACCCGGCTATCCTAGCAAGCCTGGGGTTCCACGTGAGCCTGTCGATAATGTCGTCCCTGGTATTCCATCCTTGCCTATCTCGTACGCGGACGCCCTGCCTATTCTAAAGGCGCTCAACGGCCATGGCCCTCGAGCCAAAGACATCAATAAATACTGGACTCGAAATGCAGGGCTCGGGTATAAGGGAGTCGAATACAATGTCGGCCCTTCTCCCGACAACCTGGTATTGAACCTAGTCAACCAACAAAACTACACCACCACTCCGATGTGGGATGTCATCGGCATTATCAACGGGACCATTCCCGACGAGGTGGTTGTCGTCGGAAACCACCGTGATGCCTGGATAATAGGTGGTGCGGGCGATCCCAACAGCGGTTCAGCCGTCCTCAACGAGGTAATCCGCAGCTTCGGTCAGGCGCTAGAGCGAGGCTGGAAGCCTTTGCGAACCATTGTCTTTGCTAGCTGGGACGGCGAAGAGTATGGTCTTATCGGCAGCACTGAATGGGTCGAGGAATATCTGCCGTGGATCTCGGCAGCCAATGTGGCCTACATTAATGTGGATGTTGGCGTTCGAAGCCCAACCTTTTCGGCATCAGCGGCTCCGCTATTACACAGTCTCCTTCACGAAGTAACAGCACTCGTCCCATCTCCTAATCAGACCATTGAGGGCCAGACCGTCCGGGATCTCTGGGATGGCCACATTTCTCCCATGGGCAGTGGAAGCGACTTCACTGCTTTCCAGGATTACGCCGGCGTTCCTTCCATAGACATGGGTTTCGGCGGTCCTTCTGCTGAAGCGCCTGTCTACCAGTACGTGTTTCCGTATTCAATACCCTATATAATCTCAACCCCCAACCTCAGAAGATTAGTCGAATACCCAAACAGCTGCAACATTATCTGACTCGCCGTTCTTCCCGTAGTTACCACAGCAATTATGACAGCTACTGGTGGCAAAGTGTCTATGGGGACCCAGGTTTCTTATATCACGTAAGTTATGCTTATATATTCTTCCCCGGGGAAATGTCGAAGATGAAGGCTCTTCAGGGCCACAGCTATATCCCGAGCGACTCTTGCAGTTTCGAGATTCTCCTAGATTAGACTTGAACATCGATCGCTAACTTCGAGTGATACAGAGAGCAATGGCTCAAGTGCTTGGACTCACGGTTGCCAAAATTGCTGACACACCACTTCTTGCATTGAACGCCACCGCCTACGCTGTAGCGCTCAAAGAGTATGTCGGCAAAATCGAGTCGAAGCTCGCTACCTCAGACGTCGAGCCTTCTAGCGAAGCCGAAATCATTGAGTTCAGGGCACGAAGCATTGAACCAGATGTGAAGGGCGACCGCCGAGCCTTTGAGCAGTCCTTGGGCAGGTTATACGAATCTATCAATGATATGAAGTCTGCAGCTGTGGCTCTTGATACTAAGGCTGGGAAACTTGCAAAGCAAGCCAACGAGCATATTCCTTGGTGGCATTGGATCAAGAAACTGAAGCTTCTCCACCATATTCGATTCACCAACACGAAGTACAAGAGAATCGAGCGTGCTTTCATATACCCCGGCGGTCTTGACGGGCGATCGTGGTTCAAACACGTGGTTTTTGCCCCGGGCATTTGGTCAGGATATGCAGGTGGTAGGATTGCTTGATCTCCGCAAGATCTAGTGAGTTAATGCTAACACTGTCTCAGCTGTTTTCCCAGGCCTCGTCGAGAGCATTGACAACAAGGACTTTACGAACGCCATAAAATGGGTCAATATCATCGACAGTTGCATCAAGACCGCCACAAAGACAATGGAATTATAAAGTAGCACCGCCTATGAGGATGCCCTAGCAAATTGTATCGAAATAATGCCGGTTACTCTTGGGATTTCTAAATTGACTCGTACCCTTCTTGAGATATACGCATGGCTATGAATAGAGCACCCCTCCGTTCAATTCAAGAGTCGTTATAAAGACACCATCGCCATCATTGAAAGTGCCGCCTCTATTCTTGAGACGACCTTCTGATTGATGATCATTCGGCAGCCTCACTAACCCGCGTGTTGGCTCCCAACTCGGCAATCCTGATAGGGCGTACACTGCAGCGATCGCGCAGACTGTTTCTTGTGACACGGTATGTATGTGTGTAGTACGATGACCTGTCTGTTTCTCTCGGTCTGTCTCGGATCCTAAATGCCAAGACTTCATGTAACCGAACGTCTACATCTCTTCACAGCGGCGATCGATCGCGTGGTCATAATGAAGGCAATTCATTTGTTGGCTACGGAGTGCATGCTGTGCTTGTGGTCGTCTAGTATCATTGGTCAGAAGTCCTACACTAGGTAGTCGTGTTGCTGCCTTGTTATCTTACGAGCGACCTGTATGCTGCCTATTGTACACACTGCATGCATGTAAGCGACTCCGCCGCTTTGCTGGGGGCCACCAATTCTGCCTATGAATTCGACGTAGTTTAATAGTCGATGTGATCCCAGTACTTCAAGCATTGAGACCTGAGGTTAACTAGGCCTGCCGTCCGTCCTTCTCACGCTTCACATTTACTTCTCACTTCTTGCCCATCTCATACCACACGTACGTCAAAATGGATGACGAATCCATCATCACCTTCGATGACATGAATGATCCCGCTGGGGACATGCCTCCATTCAGCGTTGTCGATAGATCGGCCATTGACACCTCGTCTTCAGTGGATCTCGGCAATGATGCTGATGACGTCCCCGATGTCTGTTATGTTCTCCGGTGCAAGGAGTTCGGGAAAGGGCTCGTTGAAGGTAAGCCTTTCTAGCGGGTTATTCATTTCCTCTTCTCGACACGTATCGTTCGTGAGTCTGTCCCGGTTCTCCTTTCTGACTTGTCACCAGTTCGCCGCAGCGCCAAGCCTATTGACCTCGACGTCGAGGATGTTCTCAAGGACAAATCCCAGAAGGACAAGAAG